CATAGAGGGGATCTAAATTCGTAAAAAGGGACCAAAGGTGCTTAACATGGCAGCCTTATTCCAAATCTCCATGCGCCGTAGACCCAAACCACCCTCATCCTTAGGCATACAAACTTTTGCCTAGGTCACTTTAGTCCCACCGGCGTTAAGGTCACAACCCTTCCACAAGAGAGTAGCTTCTACTAGTTTGATCACAGCTTTTGGTAAATAGTACAAACTTAATAAGCTGTAAACTACCTGCGTAGGGGGTGCTCGGCAAGTCCAACTCTTCGCTGTAGCTATAATTCGATCCACCAACACCTTACAATCATAAGCCCACAATTTGGTAGAGATGAGTGGGACACCAAGATAACGTACCAGTAACATGCCCTCCTTACACTGCAAAACATCAAGCAACTGATCCTTAAGATATGAAAAAACACCACTAGCAAGTAGATTACTCTTATAGGAATAAGACTAGAAAGAGCTTTGAATCGATTAAGGCAATCCTTAATGAGAGATACAGAACCAATCTCAGCTCTATAAAAAACCATAAGATCATCAACAAAACACAAATGGGTGATCTTTTCCTTCTCACTCCTCCAATGGTATTTGAAATCTTGCTAAGCAACCATCAAACCCATTAAACCCGAGAAGACCTCCATTGCCAAGACAAACAAATAGGGCGACAAAGGATCTCCTTATCTCAGACCTCTCCGACCAGCAAAGATGTAACGACCCGGGTCTCAGGCCCACCCAAATCGGATAGTACATAAGCTAACGCCTTGGGTACAGAGACCTGGGTCGTTACAAAATATGCGCATTTTTTGTAACGACTCGGATCTTTATACCCAAGCCGTTAGCTTACGTACTGTCCACTTTGGGTGGGTCTTGCGTTCACTTACCCCTGACGACTTTTATTGCGTCCTCAGGATTTGAACTCATGACCTTCCTCTTAAATAAGACTTAAGTTGAATCCTGGTACTGATTGGACAAGTGGCCCACCCAAAGCAGACAGCACGTAAGCTAACAGCTTGGGTACAAAGACCCAGGTCATTTCAAAAGAAGCCATGCAACTTACCATAAATTGAAATCGAAAATCGAGTGGAAGTGATACACTGAGTAATCTACACAACAACCCTCTTTGGAAAACCAAGCACCCTTAGAACCGGAAGGAGAAAGTCCCAGCGAACAAAATCACAGGCTTTCATGGGATCAACTTTAAGAGCACATCTGGGCAATCCTCCACCGCGATGATAATTCCTCAACAACTCTTGGGAAAGAAGGATATTATCCCTAATTTACAGTTCAAGACATTTAAAGACCAGAAGCGTGTTGATTTCGTGGCAAATGGGGTTTGGGCAATTAAGTTCTTTAGCCTGGAAGAGTATGAGAGTTTCGTCAGGAAATATCAGGAGTATTTGTTTGAGAATACCTATGGGTACGAAGCGAATGATGCGAATAAAGTGAAGGTTTATGGGAAGGATTTTCTTTAATTGAAGAATTAGTTAGATTTACATCTAGAATTTGAAAAAATACATAGAAAAATTATTCAACTATTAATAAAGAAATTCGTTCTATTATTATTTTTGTTTCGAAATTTCAAGATGACTTGTTAAATTGAATCAAATAGTGTGTATAATCAGTGAACCTGCCTATCCACACTTCCTCAAGTGTTCTACCATCTAATGAACTAGTTGGGGGTCCTATTTATCATATAAATAGCTATCATAACAGCCTCCCCCACAACACTTTAAGGACACTTGAGCTAAGCATCAGACATTAAGACTATTGCATCTAAACAGATTTTTGCTAGATGACAAGCTATTTTATCAATATTAATTTTAAGATTGAATATATTAATAGAGCATTCAATTGTATTCCCAATTTCTTAACCCAGTGAATTTTTGCAGGGCATACAATCATGCCTTCTAAAAGGGACAGCTCATGTTGCCAGAAGAGGCAGAGGATGAGATCGAGGGTTAAACCTTTTTCAAAAATTCATAGTTTAGAAATATGGAGTTTGAAATAGCGGGTATTAAATCCCAATAAAATGAGATTAGTTGATATACTGATTAAAACTTTTGGTAGAAAAGGAAATATTAGAAAATAGGAAATATCCATTCAATTTACATATTGGGCTTATATCAATACGTTTTATAAATTATTTTTGTTTCAAAACCTTGAGATGAAAATACAAGATGACTTGGTTCCTTGTTTGGTGAAAAAAAAAATTATATTCAACTCATTGTGCCAAAAGAGTTAAAAAATTGTTATCAACTTTTTCAAGTTGCCATCCTTTGATGAAGGATAAAAAAATTAGGTCAGAATAAAATTATGTTAATAATGTTTGCTTAATATTTTATTCCCTAAATCTGGAATTGGGAATTTTTCTTTTGTTGGGTGAAACCCCTTAATTATTGAAGAAATTTTATACCTCGTTATGGATTAGATATGAAGATGAACAACTTGTTTAGACCATACTTAAAAAAAAAAAAAAAAAAAAGGTTGAACCCCAACCTTGAGGACCCCTCACCGCCCCTATCCTGAAGCATCGTGAGGAAGGTAAATCGCAGGTTATACCTCCAAGGGTATAGGGTGGAAGGCTGGTTATACACTTGCACTTACCTAAGAGCCAAATTCATATTTCACGATTCGAACCCTTGATGCGGCAGCCTCAAGCAAAGCTGGATTTTTCCATCCTCCCCTTTTACCACTTGGAGATGTGCCTGGGGGGCTGTTTAGACCATACTAGATGATATAAAGAATTGTCTCCAGCTTGTTGAAAGTGAGTGAGGAAAAAAAATGATTTAGCATTGCAAAATGTTATTACAATTGTTGAATCTGAAACCCTAGAAAATCTGAATTGATCTCGAAAAAGATCAACGTTACATTTCATCTAAAGAGGAAGGAATGTCTATCTCTTAAAAAGTTGATGTTTCTGATGACTATAATGAAGACACATATGGGGATTAAAAATCTCTACCATGATGCTAAAAACAACAAATTCACATAGAAGGAATTGTATAAAATTTCAAAACAGGAAAAGAAAAGCTGATGGAGGACAATAATTCCTAAAGAATATAAGAGAGTCCTATAAAGAAATTGCAAAGGACAATAATACATGCAAGAAAAAAAGAAGTTACCTTGAAAAAGCCCACAACAAATAGAAGGCGCTTTAAAAAAGCCTGATATGAAGAAATAAAAGACAAACATATTTTTCATATATCCACTTTAAATTTTCCTCCATTGCAATAACTCCATTAAACAAACATATTTTTCATATATAAAAAGACCCTCTTAATTTGGCAAGGACTTGCTATTTTGAAGATGAAGCGTAGATTATACTTTTAAGTGTTATATTTCTGTATAATTAAATTATGCTAGCTTAAATTGTTTTTATTCATTGATAAAGTACTTAGTCTAATCTAATAAAATGATCAATTAAATTTATTTAATCAAATATCCTTCATTCTTGTTTGTATGGACCTTCAACGAAGTCGTATGGTTGGTCATTTGATCCATAGCTAGGCCGTGCAAGGCTGGTTTGTACCAAGACATGACACACATATCAATAATAAAGAGAAAGTTCCAAACAAATTTAAAAAGTGAAGGAATAGAACTATATATGAAAATGTACATAACTTTTAGGCAGTTATCGTAATTTCATCAGTTGGAATAATCCAGAAATATTTTCAATTTTGCACATATAAAAATCTTTTGCATGTTCCAGATGGACTAATTGATTAAAAGCAAAGAAAATCAAAGGAGTCATGCAAGTCCAAGCTGTGTGGGTCAAGAGTTCGAGTGAAACAAAAAAAACACAATGTTTCAAGATGGCATGAAGGACGAATCAACCTTAGTGCATTTAATTTGAGTTGGGGAAGAGGGAGTTGATTCGGAAAACCATGCTATCACAAGGCTTTAATTTCCTTACCCTCGGAAGCCCCAAAATTTGGAACCCAAGAGCGAATTTATAGTGCCATGCGCTTGTGTCAAATATAAACAATGTAATTGCATGGTTATCCAGTGGGGTCTGAAATTTTATTTTCAATTTGTTTTGGATTCTATTTGTTTAAGTTTATCTTAATGTTTTTCAAGTAGAATAAGATTTCTTTTTTATTTTCTATGTATATGAGGCATTTTCATTATACAAAAATAACAAAGTTTATTTGAGATATTAATATAAAAGTTGGATTATTCGCTTTCACAACTAACACTTAATTGAACTATCCCAAACTTATAAAAAATTTCAATTCTTCGTGGCATTCAACCCTTCCAGCCCTGGTTCTTGATTCAAGAAATAATTGGATCAAGGTTATAACTCTGATTTTAGCTTTCTTGTGGTTCTATCAAATCTTGTGTACGAATCAGGGTATATCATGCAATGGTTCACATTAGAGAGATTAATTATAAATTGGGATTTTGCCTTTCATCTTGATATTAATTGTAGTTATCCATAACTTATCAAAGATTTTTAATTTTTATGGCATTTAAACCTTTTAGCCTTGGTTCTTGATTCAAGAAATCATTGAGTTAATGTTACAATATATTTGTAGGAAATGGTTCTTATTTGTCGGAAAAAACCTTTGCAGACAAGAAAAATTTGTAGGCATATTTGTGGGCCAAACATCGAGAAGATAGGTAAAAGACAACAAATTTTTAAAATTTATGGGCTAACGTCTTTCCCTACGAACCTTTTGCATACGAATAAATTCGCGGCATAAATTTTGCTTTGCCCTACAAATTATGTTGTGGGCTAAATCGTGTTTTTCCCTACAAATAATTTTTTATGTGAAAATAATATTTTCCAAATTATTTTGAGGGCAACTCCTACTTAATTGGAGATTGTTATGAAAGAGTTCCTAAGGGAAAATTAAATTATTTTTACTTTTTTATATATATATTGTAGTAAATTTTTTAACCTTATCCAAAATAATATTAAGAAAGGCAAAAGGACATTAAATTAATTAAAACATGTAGTGTCAATCAATATAACATTGAATACAAAATATTTTATCAAAACACAAATAAAAAATATTCACTCTTTATAGCAAACATGCTTTAAACATAACTCTTAAAAAATATTCATCTAAATTTAAGAGTAGGAAACATGCTATTTATCTATTATTATTATGGACGTAAAGAAACATAACTCTTCGTCCTCAAGAATTAGACATATAGCTAATCTTGTTAATGTTTTCCCGGAATCAAGAACTTCAAATGAACTGAATTTCAACTTTGCTCTAGGTTTGTCTACCCCTAGCAAAAAAAGTCTTCCCTCAACCCGAAACTTGAAGAAAAGAAAATGACGGTATGATTCTAGCATAGGAGGTGACCATACTTATGACCTGATAACCTACACCAAGAGTAGATGAGTCAGAGTGTGAGAGTTGGTGCATGAAAGAGAGAGGACTTCAAATAAGACACAATAAAACCTTTCGGCAGCAAGCATATGAGTCCTCGACCAAAGAAGCCATTCCAACACATTCAAAATAGTAGTCTGCTCCTCCATTAGTCATCTCATCTATGACCTGAGAAATATTGTGAAGAACACAAAAGTTAAGCTATGAAGCATACACAAGATAACAATCCCCTTTGATCCTTGAAGTATACAAAATTAATGAAGTGAAGAATAATATTATATATAGTAAAGGAAATATTTAAATAGACTGCCTACATTTCAAGAATATAGATTTCATACCTTTGTCATTTTCAATCTATGCTTGTAGAAGCAAGAGATGGAAGAAATTAAAATTATACCAAAATTTATAAAGTTAAATTGTCACAAAGCATACCATGTTGACAATGATGAAAGACAAGTTCCATGTAGCTTAGTATAGAACTTAATAGAAGAACTTATGATCTAGAAGCTATTCACGAGGGAGTTGGGAATTGTAGAATATCACAAACACTTAGCTCGTAAACGGTTCATAAAATGTCATTTCCCCCATTCTTAAGGGTTTAGCATTTGACTATATGCATCCAAAAAGTATGATTAACAAATACAATAACTGCATGTGTATGAACATAGTAACACACGATTCGATAAATATAAGAATGAACAAGAATTTAGATTATGATTACATGTGATATTAGAATGAACAAGAATTTCGGTTATACTTAGTTCTTTCTCACTATAATAGTGTTGATTGCTATCCAATACTCATTACCACATATTCCACAAATATTGAAAACGTACAATAGAAGATAAACAGATCATTGCTACTTGAACTTATCGGCACTGAAATCTTCATAGCCTTGGCATCTCGAATCCATAATTCCATTGGACCAACCAACTGAAACGGACGCCAAGATAGGCATCTGATGGTCCAATCGCTGCCTTTCCACCAATTCTTCCTCATGTGTCCTCTCTACATCCTTCACTCGAAAAATTGCCTCCTTCAAACCCTATTTCAATAATCAAAATAGTGAACGCTGAAATCAGAAACCCCCAATTTTTTTGAAAACAAAAATCAACAAATAAATTATAAAAACGAGTTATAATTATAATCAAGACGTAGACACAAACTAAAAAATTCCCCCGCTGGAAAATGAGTCTTCCAATAAAACCATCATTTATTACCTATGATAAAAATTCAGTCAAGGGTTCATCTTAGCAAATTTAATATTTAAAGTATAAGGAAAAAATTTTAAACAAATAATTCTGTCCATATGAGGCTCAAAAAGGCAATCAAATTCCTACATCGGTGTGGAGGGTACCTTGATTGTATATGAAAACAATAACATAAAATTCTATTCACCTTAAAAAGACCTGATAAATTCAATCAAAAAATTTACAAAAATGCGACAAATCATATCCCTACTTAAATAATTTATACAAAAGAACACCCTCCATATTTATTTGCTTTTCAATTGCAAGAAACTGAAAACATAATCTCAAAATTCAAGATTGTTTAGTTATATTTTCGAATTAATCATAGGATTGAATGGCATACCTTGAAGACAACTTGAAGAAGAACTCAAAATTTATAGTAGATTCTGCCAAATATTTTTTATCCAAAATCGATACTATGTCAAGAAAAAAATGGATGGCAACCAAGATTTATAAGAAATTTTGAGGCTGAGAAAATGGGAATTAGGTTTGGCCCACTAATTGATAAGGTTAAAGCTTTGGAGGCTAAGAGGGTGATGCGTTCCCAGTCAGAACAAAGACATAAACAATAGATTTAAATAGATAAAACTTCCTTTTGGGTAGGAAGGAAACCACAAGTTTTTCTCTTAGGGTAAGAATAAACCACAATTGTTTTTCATCATCTGGTTTCTTCCATTCACGTCCACTACATATATATATATATATATATATAGGCAAAAGCCCAACAAAACTAAGTAGTTCCTAAATCTAAGGAAACACTAAACCTTCATTAATTAACAGCACTAATAACGTGTAAAACAAAATAAATGCAACTGCCAAACAGAAAATGAAAACAAGAAAATAAAATGCTATTGGACTTGGTCTTGTTCTCTATCCGGGGCCCACATCCTCTCTCTTCCTTCATGTATCGGATCCCCACGTTCCCATGCAACGGCTCTTCACAGTTCCTGCCACGTTCCCATGCTATGCATCTATCATTCCTCCCCCCATCAAAAAGAACCTTGTCCTCAAGGTTGAAGACAAGATCTTCCACTTGGGGCCTTCCAAAAATGCAATGGTATATGATCTCCAAATCTCCGTGGTAGTTCCGATGCAATCCTTGTTACTGAACTTGTGAGAATGGTTCATCAAATCCTTCATACTTAGCTGGTCCAAATCGAATGGCAATGTCCTTTGCAAAAATTTCCAACGTGATAATATATCCTTTATTGGGGTAGAGACACTCCATGCATTGCCACCATTGATTTGTCTTCCCATCCAAGTGACAGACTATATAGGATGCTTTTTGAGCCTCAATAATTTTGTAGCCTGCAAATGAATGAGTTGGATTTTGTAGACACGTTGCTGGATTATTTCCCAAGAAGCGAGGAAAGTTCATTGCTCCTTGTTGCACATCCTTGGAGTCTTTCTCTCCCTTTTCAAATTCGTTGAATGATTGACGAATGGTGGTAACCTTACTGGTAGAAGTTAGGGATGAACACCTCTTCTCACAATTATGAGGAAAAGATGAAATAAAAAATGCTTTCAGCTCGAAAACCAAAATAAGAACCACCTGCAATTTCTCAACGAGATCAGTGTTTGATGCCATGGCTCTAATACCACTTGATGCGGTCCCAGTCAGAACAAAGACATAAACAATAGATTTAAATAGATAAAACTTCCTTTTGGGTAGGAAGGAAACCACAAGTTTTTCTCTTAGGGTGAGAATAAGCCACAATTGTTTTTAATTCATCATCTGGTTTCTTCCATCCACGTCCACTATATATATATAGGCAAAAGCCCAACACAACCAAGCAGTTCCTAAATATAAGGAAACACTAAACCTACATTAATTAACAGCACTAATAACGTGTAAAACTAAATAAATGCAACTGCCAAACAGAAAATGAAAACAAGAAAATAAAATGCTATTGGACTTGGTCTTGTTCTTTATCTGAAGCCCACGTCCTCTCTCTTCCTTCACGTATCAGATCCCCAAGTTCCCATGCAATGGCTCTTCACAGTTCCTACCACGTTCCCATGCTATGCATCTATCAGAGGGGAGAAATTTAACTGGGTTATTGAGGGTTTTTCATTTTTTTTTTCATTCTGGATTTTGTTAGCAAAAAGAATGTATTTTCTCATTTTCTTTCAATTATCTTTTCACATAATTATACATGTAGAACATGGGGTACAGCAGGGGCAAACATGTCAAACGTGGGTAATTTAAGAAGGGACTAAAATATTAAAAAAAAAAAGTCCCCTTTATAATGCAAACATGTTAAATATTTTTGTCAGCAAAAGATATATCTTGCTCATCAACTCTTTTGTTGGAAAAAATTCAAATTTTTGTGGGCATAAATCCTTCTAATATTGAAAGTTTTGTTGTGTTGAAATATGAACTCCACCTACAAATCTCTATTTGTCAATGGAAATTTTGTAGGAAAAGTATAAATTTCTTGTAGTGAATTCTAATTTTAGCTTTCGTGGTGTTCGTAGCAAAATCTTGTGTGTATTTCAAGGTTACATCCTACAATGGGAAGAAAATTAGTTGATATCAAAGTATTGACTGTAAAATCAAGTTTTGTTTTTATCATCCTTTTCTGTTTCTATTCCAATTTCTTTGTCTCTTTAGTTGAATCCCCATCCCATTCTTTGAGTGATTCACATCCAAAATTGTATCCTTAACATTCAAGAATTGATTTGTGCACCAGCTCAAATATTTTCTGGGTCTTTTCCCTGTGATTGATCTATTTCATGAATTTCACATAAAAAAAAGAGTACTAAAATTAAAACAAAAAATGAATAAAATTCAAGAAAAACTAGAAAAAAAAATCGAGAAAAGCAAAGTCTAATTTCAAGTATCTTTCTCTTGGAATTCTTGTGGTATTATTTACCAAGAACTACCGTCTTATTACTATTTTATACATATATCATCCTTAATCTTGTTGTAAAAAGGTATAAACCAAACTCAAGAAACCAGTTGTTCTTTTGAAGTTCTTAGAGTGTTTCTATTCTACATTTTATCTTGCCTTCTTGGGTTCTGTCTTCAGTCTTATTATCATTCTTGTTTCTTGCAAAAAATGAATTATTTATTGAGTTAGTTCCTTAGAGAAATTGACAAAGAAACCTAAAGAGGAAAAATGCAAGAGTGGTGAGTTTATTATTGGGAAATAGTCATATAGAGTGAAAAACTTGAGTGCAAATACTTGAGGATTTGATCCCAAAAAATACCTTGCTGTTCATTTCTTTTTAATTGCTTCTCCATCTTCATAGCCATATCCACCATGTCTTCTAACTCCATATAATTTTGTAACTTAATTACATTGGCTATATATCCCTATTTAATCCATTCAAAAACCTAATCAATGTGGCCTCCTATCCTCTTCAACATTAGCCCTAACCATAGCTACCTCCACCTCATGTTAAACTTTTACACTTCTTGATCTTTGACTAATGCTCTATTATTTTTTATAGAGGTCTCTATTGTGACGACCGGAGTTCTAAAGTTCGAGTGTCACTAAAATCGTATCTTGAACACCATATTAAACTCTAAAATCTTGAAATTTATTTAAATAATATCATGAAATTGTAAGAGTGAATACATAATTTAAAAAAATTTGACATCAACATAAAAGAAAATACTAGAAGTTTTAGCAGTCTTAATATCAAATAAATAAAAAAAATCAAACCTTAAAATCAAGATGAAAGTTATAGAATTACCTTAATTTTGGGTAAAGATCATCATGAGAAAACAGATGAGAAGGAAGATTGGGAAGTGGTTTCCAACAATTTCTTTAACCGATAAAAAATTACTCGTCATGAACTAGGAGAATTTTGCGATCAATTTGGATGTAAAATTTTAAAAAGCCATGGAAAAGATAAACATCCAGAAAACTAAAGGAGCTTGAGAGAAAAAATTTCCAAAGAAAAGATCTAAGAGAAAATTTCCAAAGAGAAGAAAAATATTTTCAAAAGAAAACCGATCTTTCAAAAATTAAATGTTGGAGATTTCATGCTTCTAAATGTAGAACTAAGGTTCAAGAAATTCAATTCGAAGATGATCTTAAAATTAAGATATCTACTAATCACCAAATATTGATGGTGATCTTAAATATCAAGTTTACCTTGCGATAATGAACCAAAATGATAAGTAACGTAAACGCAGTAAAACATTCCGAAGTGTACCAAAATGTATTGAAAAGGTTGAAAAGTATAACAACGTGGAAAAATGTACAAAATTGTGTCAAAACATATATTAATTGAATGAATTATACCGAAACACTCTGAACCATGTACCAAAATTTCCAAAATGAACAAAAACGTGTCAAAATCCATCAAAATGCACTAAAAAAGAAAAAAAATAATAATTATGTATTATGCCATGCCAGAATGCGTAAAAGCACAAATAGTAAAAGTTAAATAAAAGCCATTGAAAACTCGGTCAAATATATCAAAATGCACAAAAATATAACAAATAAATAAATAAAAATTGAAACGTTCAATAACTTTCCAAAAAGGAACCAAATGCACAAAGCATCCCAAAATGAGCATGAAATGTACCAAAAACATGCCAAAACAAACCAAAACACATACAATGTACCAAAACATAATGAAACTCTTCAAAAATTTACAAAATGTGTGAAATGTAGCCAGATGTGTAGCTGCAAAACAAGTGGGCACACGTATGTTAGCACAAATTTTAACCAAGGCCAAATTAAGCCCCTGTTTGAGCCCCATTAATTTTCATTACATTACATTTCATTTTTCTCTCTCCAATTTTCAACCACACAATCTTCCACAAAATAATATTACACGTAAATTGAAAATTTTTCCTTCTTTTTCAACCACTCATTTTTCAAAAAAATACTATTCCACCCATTAAAATTTTCACGTAATGGGAGCCAAACAGGGGGTAAGTGAATGGCATGCAATACAAAATCTGAAGGCAATTTTTTTTTTTTTTTTAAGAACTCTATTTGTTTGATACTATCTTGATGTTTTTACGAGTTATTTAGGATTTCTTTATTATTGACTATATCTATGAAATGATTCATTGTCCAACCAAGACATTATTTGAGAGGTGTTATACAAAGTGAGATTTTTATTCGCTTTAATATCTTGTTCTTAATTGCACTATCCCAAAGTTATCGAAGACTTCCAATCTTTGGGGTATTCAACCCTTCCAACATTGGTTCTTGATTCAAAAAATAATGCTGGGTCAAGGTGGTTATAACTCTGAGTTCCTCGGGGTTCTATCAAATCTTGTGTGGCTTCCAGGGCATAACCTACAATCGGCTTCATATCAAGAGCTAAAGCTCTGTCACCAACTGGTGTGAACCCTGTTGTAGGATGTACCCTGAAACCCATACAAAATTTCATACAAACCATAAGAAAGTTAAAATCAGCGTTATAACATTGGTCCAACAATTTCTTGAATCAAGAACCAAGGCTGAAGGGGTTGAAAACCACAAAAATTTGAAATATTTGACAAGTTCGGGATAGTACAATTAAGAATAAAATAGAGAGCAAAAGTCTCACTTTGCAATTAATCTCTCAAAATGTTGTTGCGTTGGGTTTTCGTACAATGAATATGCCTTATATAGGCAAACATAAAGAAACCTAATTCCTCCCTTCTGGTTTAATGACTTTTGTTCTTTGCAGAGGCTGTCCAAGAGTGGAATGATTCATTGAAAAGTGGAAAGGAAGGACAAGGAAGGG